CTTTTTTTTTTTTTTTTTTTTTTTTTTTTTTTTTTTTTGTACATGTAAATGTTACCCATCACCATGCTTTAAAATTTTTATTTTGTTTTTTTTTCTTTTTCATTTCCTGCACATTTTTTTTTGTATTAAAATTGTGATGTTGTTTATGTATACATACACATATGCATGCATTTGTATAAATACGTCCGTCCCTTTGTTTGTTTTTTGTAGTGACTTTTAATTGGTTAATTTGTGTAACATAAGGGAAAAAAACACATTTGAGGGAAAAAAAAAGAAAAGAAAGTAGCTATAATAGACCATTTCTGCGTGTCACTTTTGCGCATCTTTTTTACGCGCCATTTTTACGTTCCACTTTTATGCGCCCCCCTTGTGCGCACCATTTTTACTCACCAGTTGTAATGAATAATCTCACCAGAGATGGACCCAAATGACAGTAAAAACGCGGACCTGTCAGCCGACTCAACAAGTGAAAGACAGGAAAACGCGGCAGCAGGAATCGAAACGCAGGATGAAAATCCAAAGAACATAGATGAAGAAGAAAAAATTGCAGGCGTAGAAACAAATGAAAATGCTGCAACTGCTACCAATGATGTTGTAAATGACACAAAGGCGGGGGCGACGGACTTTGATACTTCGAATAAGGACAACAACTGTAGCATGGATGCTACTATCAACGCCACCGACGCGAACAGCCAAAATATTTCAAAGGGAAACTCGACCGAAAAACTGACGGAAAATGGGGAAATCAGAGAGGGTGATAATGGCTTGAATGTGCAAGACACGTCTAAATTGGTCAAAGAAGGAGATGAACACGTGAACAAAAAGGAGGCTGAAAAGGAGATCGAAAAAGAGTCTCAACATGAGACTGAGAAGGAGCACGAAAAAGAGAACTTTCCAAGTAGCCAAGTCAAACCCCTTGAGGGCGGCGCTCCCATGAGCAAACACCAAGATATCACCTTTCCCCCCAAAGTGCCCCCCACATTTAACAACAATGAGCCGTTATACATCGAAGTGAAAGGCCTCCTGCAGGTCCTTAACGCTCAGGATTTTGCCAAAAACATGAGTATGGAAAGTTTAAATTTAGGAAAAAAAAACGAAAATGTATCAATCAGCAAACGCTCACTTAGTGTGCCATACAAAGGAGTTTCGAAAGGCATTCCAAAGGACATTAACAACAGACAAAGCAGTAAAAGCAATAATGCAGCTGCTCAGAGGTTTCCAGGGTTGCCCAAATCAGCAGATCTGATGAAAAGACCCCCTCTGCCAATTAAGTCGCCCATAATAAATCCACCACTTACTACATTGAACAAAACTAACCTTCATAAGGAGGGAATTACTACAGGGAAGGCGTTAGACACTGGTAAAGGAAAAAGCATTTTTCGAAATTTACCAAAGAAAATCCCTTCACCGGAAGTAGTAAAGATAAAGCCCAAAGCAATGATTAAAATGAATTTTGTCCCATCCAAAGAAATTAGTAAAGAGGAAAAAGAGAAAGCACTGCTGCCAAAAGAAAAAACATTTTTTAAAATTCCTCCAAAAGTGTTACCCTTTCTGATTAAAGAGAAAAATGTTAAGCATAAGGCTCCTCCCAAGGGTAACATAAAACATACGTTGCATTATCTTAAGAGAGCTGTAGAAATAGGAAGCAAAGGAGTTGATGAATCTGCGACGGAAAGGAAAGAAGTTCCAAGTGGGAGGGACACTAGCAATACAAGAAAGAGCTTACTAATCACTCGAAAATTTATAGAAAAGCCAAAAAATACACAAAAAAGTAACCCCTTAAGGATGGAAGCTGTGAAAAGAGGAAAGGCAATTTTAGACACAAAGAAAATTTTAGCCAAAAAACCCATTTCCAAGATGCTAACCCAATCGAAGACAATGGAAAAGGATAGAAAGAAAAAGTTTCTGCTTAAGAGTATACAAGAGAAAGAGGCACAGCCGTCGGAGGAGGCTCCTCCTGTGGAGACCACTTCCCCTAAATTAGACAACACCGCAGATGTAGATGTTGAGAAGAGTCCCGAAAAGGAAGAAAAACCGACCGAGGAAGGAGACCACACGAAGAATGAACAGAGAGACGTAAATGAAGATACCAAGGAAGAACCTCCCCAGGTAGATAAGGAAGAGGTCGTAGTAGTTGACACGGAACACATCATAGAGAGGGAAAAAACGTTAGAACAAAAAAATGAATCCGAAATGGAAAATTGTGGGAAAGACATATACGACTTGATGAGAAGCGAAACGGAGAGGCCCGAAGGGGCAGATGAAGTAGTGGGGGAAGTGGTGGAGCAAGTCGTGGGGGTCCAACAGGTAAAAAAGGTGGACGATGGGGATGAGCACACCGATGCGAGTGGCGATAACGAGTTGGATGCAGTGATGGGAGAAAAAAAAGAGGAAAAAGAAGATAATTCCGAAAAGGCGGATGGTGAAGGGGAAAAGGGAAATTCGGATGGTAGCCGAAAGGGCGTAGGGCCGGAAGAGTTGGAAGAGGGAGAGAAGGGCGAAGAAACGATCCAACCAACGGAGCCAGCGGAACCGGCGCAGTCAGAATCAGACGAGAAAAAGAAGGGGCTCGAAAAACTGAACGAAGCGAAAGAGGCGAAAAGGACAAAATTTGAGGTAAAGAAAGGCGCGGACCAGAAGATAAACAAAAAGGTACCAAAAAGAGGCGATAACGCACCGGCAAAAAAGGATGAGGGTGGGGCGCCTCTAACCATGAAGACCATTGGAAAGGCTCCTCTAACCATGAAGACCATTGGAAAGGCCCCACTCACCATGAAAACCATTGGAAAAGCCCCACTCACCATGAAAACCATTGGAAAAGCCCCACTCACCATGAAAACCATTGGAAAAGCCCCACTCACCATGAAAACCATTGGAAAGGCTCCTCTAACCATGAAGACGATTGGAAAGGCGCCTTTAACCGTGAAGCAAAGCGCAAAGCCTGAATTGGTCCTAAAACACAAGGCAACAATGAAAGGAGTCCCAACGCTACTAAAATTAAAGACAGATACCACAGGAAACATAAAAGACAAGAAGAACTTAAAAAATGAAAAAAGCAGCGACCCGATAAAAAGTGCAACTAGCAAAAATTCGCCCCAAAGAAAGAGCACCCTTCCTTTGAAGAAAGTTAACACTTTTAAGAAAGCTACATTGAGCAAAAATTCTTTGAAAGATGTAGATGCAGAAAAGAAGAAGCTTCTAAAAAAGCTAGATACATCTATGAGTGATAAAAATGGGAAGATAGATGCAGAAAATGATTCCATTTCCATGTTAAGTAAAAATGTGTCCAAGAAAGTTTCTTCCACATCTATTAAAAACGCCTTGTCCATTTTTAAGAAAAAAACTTTGAGTAAGTCCAAGACGGACAATATTCATGAGATCATGTCGAGTGGAGGCAACCACAACGCAATCGTGTCGTCCAAATCAGAAAATATTCACAACATGTTGGAGCAAAAGAAGAAGGAGAGAGAAGCGGAAGAAGCAGCACCAGATGATGATGATGAATTATTTACAAAAAAGTTGCTAAGTTCGAAGGATCTAAGAGTGGGTGCAAAATCGAGCTCATCCAATGAGAGCGATCATCAAAATGCAAAGGAATCGCCTCCTCCCATGATAGAGAAGAATGAAGAAGACATCGGATCCAAAGGGGGACAAGAATTGCCCAAGATGGTAATAAAAAAACCGTCTTTGCAGAAATCCAAATCGCTTAAGAAGCTCAAGTCCAAGTCGAGCAAAAAAATGAGCATGAGTGATGACATGTCCATTGGGGAAGAGAAGGTAACTAAGAAAATGGCCAAGCTCAGTAGCTCCAAGAAGATAAAAAGTGCAGTATTGCAAATGAAGGTGGAGAAGAAAATGAAAAAGCTGAAATCAGAAACAACATTACACAAGGGAGCTAGCGGCGTAAATAAAATGAAAGATAAGAAGGGCCCCAAGAAATCTAAATCGACCACTGGAAATGGCAACAGTAAAGTTGCGAAAGAAGGAGTGGGTAGCGAATCCTTGCTGGAAAAGGAATTAGTCAAAATGAAGTCTTTTAAGGATAAATGGAATAACGATTTCGTGACTCCTAGGATAGGAGGCATGGATTCATCCAATAGCTTTTTTGCTCATGACAAATCGGAAATGTCTAACGCTGATGCGTCCGATGATAATGTTCCCCACTCCATTACCTCTCCTTCGGTGGCGTCCAAAAAGCTGCGAAAGAAGAAAAAAATGAGCAACCGCGTAAATGGGCCTATCCGCACAGATGACGCTCCCAAAAAGAGGGGAACCACCGGGAAGGCTAAAAAAATTGCCGCGAGCTCCAGCATCAAATCTATGGAGAATAGAACTGTGAGCGACTTGGAGCAGGAAGCACACCCCCTCCTCCCAGGCACACATAAAGACAGCACCACCACGACCACCAATACTAACACGAATACTAACACCAACACCAACACAAGTGGCGAAGAAAGAAGAAACAGCGGAGAAGCAAACGGGGGCATGTCAAACCTGAGAAACGCTTCCCTGTTAAATTTTAACCGAATCAAATCGGCCAACACGTTGAGGAAATTATCAGTCCAAGTGAAGTTAGAATCGCCCCCCACGGAAATGCCATCCCGAGGGGAACCCAATTTGAAGGTAAACAATTTATGCTCGAAAACGCCCGCAGTGGATACAAGGACAAGTGGGATGATCACGCAAAATACCAGTTGGATGTTTGACAAATGTTGCTCAGCGGGGAATACCATCCCTCACTATGTCTACGAGAGAAAAGAACCCGCGGTTCAGAACTTCAGCTCCCTCTTTAACGTCAATAATAAGTATATGCCGCAAAGCACGAATGCGCAAATGGCTCTCCTCTCTCGCAACAGCGTAAAGGTGTCAAATATTTACGAGTCTGATTTGCTGGGCAGGGGTGAGTGGGCGTTGAATAGGCAGATTCTTCGTGCGTCGCTGGGCGGCAACAAGGCCAACGACGGGAGCCCCTTGCGCAGACCGGTGAGCGGATTGGTCAGTAGGCCATCGAGAAGTCCGATGGTCAGCGGGTTGATGAGTAGCCGGCCAAGCAGGCCGATGAGCAGTCAGGTGAGCCGGCCAGTGAACGGTCAAATGGGCGGCCAAATGAGTGGTCAATTCAGCGGTCAAATTGGAGGCCGATTGAACAGCCAAATGAGCGGCCAATTGAACGCCCAACTTAGTCACGAACTGGACGGAGAGAATAGCCTCCCCCTGAGCTGCAAAATGAATTCTGGATCATACTCCAGCAAATCACTCCTAAATAATAGCAGTCCCCTAGAGTTAAGAAGAAGGCCATCCTGCAACACAACAATGAATTACTGCAGTTGTATATAGAAAAGGCGGGTTGGGGCGTCCTGCCAGAGAGAGAAGACTGCCCTTAATCGGTTCCCTGCGTTGATTGTTCCGGACGGTTTGGAGTGCTTCATGGTGGATAATTTTTCCCGTGGGGATGTTTCCCTCGCGAAGCGTTAGCAACAGCGTGAGCAAGTTATAAAATGTATACGCGAGTACGTACGTAGGTACATACATTATTTCAACATTTTACCAACGTGATGTTTTTTTTTTATTTTCCCCCACGCCGCAGTCATGTGCATACACACAAAGGGTTTTACCCTTATGAGTGACTACATGCAAAACGAGTGCGGCGAACATTTTTTTTCGTGTCCTCCAGACAGTCGAAAAAAATAGGGTAACTTTTGCAAAATTAAAAAAGGGGGACGTTCGCAAAGAGGGAAAAAATATCACTTAAGTATTACTTAGGCCAAATTAGCTGTTAAAAAAAAAAAAAAAAAGGGGGCACGCAAAATAAGACATGTACAAAATGGCTTCTCTTCCTAATATGCTCATATGTTCTGTTGTGTTATTTTTTTTTTCTCCCTTTTCCTATTAGTGGTTAGTCTTTGGACCCATCCTTGCACTTGTTCAGGTGCTCTTTCAAGTGGTCATTTTCGTGATACAGGTGGCTGATGTGCCTTCTGTATAAATCAATTTGCGTTTTGTACATAGACGGCAGATTTCCTTGGTTACTGGACAGCACTGGCTGTATGTCCCCCTCTTCTCCACTCGTACAGAACGGTGGTTTTACATCTGTCGAGGCCCCCTTTTGTGGCTCCTCTTTCGCGCGCACATTAACCGAATGGGCCTTAACCAAACGTTCATTTTTTCTACTGAGCCGCTTCTGCTTGTTCTTGAGCAAATTGTGTGTGTAAAAGAAAACGTCATTTATCACACTTTGTTGGAGCTTAATTAAATTTAAAGAGTCATTGTAGCTCTTAATTAACAGGGTTAGCATTTGCACGGTTTTTTCCAAGTGAGCAGAGTGGTTCACGACCTCATAGGTTGGCACAGGGACATGCTTTACCATCACTTGGTTATTAAAAATATTAAAATTGTTTTCCTCATCGCATGTTATAATTTGTTCTGTGTATGTAGAAAGGGACAAATAATTTTTATACAATGTATCATTAATAAGGGTTATATCATTTTCACTTAAAAAATTAGTCTGGGCAGATTTTGTATTGAATTTGGTTTTTCTCTTTTCTTTTTCTTTTTTTTTTTCTTCTTCTTCCTCTTTTTCTTTCTTCCTCTTTTGCTCTTTTAACTGCAAAAAGTTCAGGACGTATTTGTTTGCATAAATTACATTTTCACTGTCATACGTTATGTCCTGCTTATAGCCATTCGTGACTTTTCTTTCTGTCTGTTCATTCTTTATGGTACTTAACAAATTTAGTTCTTTCAGGAGGGAGAAGTTTTTAACCAGCCTGTTAGCAATTTTTATTTTGTCTTCCTTATACGTATCTTCGCACTGAATGTCTTGGCTAATCAGTTTGTTTACATCTCCTCTGCTCATTTTTTTGTGTCTCCTCCCCTGCCCTTTCCGTTAACTAATTCATGTTGGTTGCTTCGTCCCGCTGTGTCTGCGTGAGGGCATATGTGTACATAACGTACGTGTGTGCGCATATATAAAATGCAAATAAGCTATTAACGTGTTTTTCTCCCCCAACTTGGGGGTTGCCTTTCTTCACCCCCCTTTTGTAAGTCTCCCCTTGTGTTATGTCGGCCTCTTAACAAGTTGTAAAAATGTTCAGTGCTCTCTTTTGCAATTTCGCACTTTTCGTTCTTGTCGCGCCAGCCATGCTTGTTCGCTACTAAACTGTTCATGTGAAAATTTCCCCCAGCTTGCAGTTCTTCCCTGGTATGGGGAATGAACATATATTTGATGCATGCGTAGCATAATTATTACATGCCTATTTCGCGCATGTGATATAAAAGTGAAAAGGGACAAAAAAAAAAAAAGGGAAGGGGATGTGGAAACAATATTACACATGGGGCAAACAAATTGTGGGGGGAAAAAAAAAGTTCACCAGGCGCAGGACGCACATGGTACACAAACACGCACCGTGTTATGTTATACATGTACTTTTTTTTTTTTACGTTATGATATGCCCATGTTACGCGCATATGTGCACATGACAGGTAAACAGAAAAAAAAAAAAAATGTACTTCATGTATAACACGTACAAATCTCAGTCATGTGACATATGAGAAAAAAAAAAAAAAAAAGGGTTAAACAAAATGAAAAGTTTCGCTGCTTTAATGCAAATTCGTTTGTTCGAGTTTATTGGCGCCATTCGTTTTTCCATGGCCATTTTTTTTTTTTTTAGGTATCATACAAATGTTCAGCGTTTTGCATTTTCCTTTTTTGAAACATTGTATTTGTTTAGTGGAATGTTTATTAGCTCGTTCGTCTTTTTTTTTTTTTTTTTTTAAAAACCCCCATTTTCGAGTGCGGAGAGACCGCATGGAATTCTTTAATTTGTCCAATTCTGCTTTTTTGAATTTTCGAGCATTCTTTTAAAAGCGCGAAATGTGGCCAGTGCTGCTGCAGTTTTTGCAGTTTTGTGAAAAATTCTTTTAGAGACAGCCCTGTGTTGTTCGTTTCCCTCTTGAGTGTGAAGTGGCGACTTGGGGAAAGCAAGCTGTGAAGGTGTTTTTTTGTTTTTGTTCTGTTTTTGTTTTGTTCTGTTTTGTTTTTGTCATTTTTTTTTTGTTTTGTTTTTGTTATTTTTTTTTTTTTTTTTTTTTTTTTTTTTTTTTTTTTTTTTTTTTTT